TTACTCACTTTTTAAAGGATCAGATGAACTTCTACGTTTAGGGAAAAAATGCTCTGCCACTGAGTTATGACAGACTTTTACGGAATATATACATCATAAATATGCTGCCAGAGGTAAATTTTGACAGGAAAAACATACTATATAATTATCATCCAGATCAAGACACGAGACATTGTAACCAGAACAAAACCCTTGTACTCTCTGCCATAACACCCACAAACAACCCCTTTCCTAGAAACTTCTGTGTTCTGGATTCGCATAAAGCAAACATACAGGACGTGCTGCTGTGTCCAGCCTGTTCAGTACCGTGTCTGTGTGCTGCACCTGCACTGTTACACTGGTCAGTAGACCATTTTCTCTCCTTTCTGCACGCTGGAACAATTTACCTACTTTGCTATTACATATTCAGGTTGCTTCCAACTGGAAGCTCTCACAAATAATGCTGCTTCTGAATGTTTCTGACAATATGGTTTTTAAATAACATTTGATAATCTTCACTTCATAAGCAAATTTTTTGTTGTTTTTTTTTGAGACAGGGTCTCGCTATATAGTTCAGGTTGGCATTGCACACACTCAACAGCTCAGGGTGGCCTTGAACTAGCCAAAATCCTTCTGCCTCAGCCTCCCAAATAATGGACTACAGCTCTACAAACCAAGATTTTTAAACTCTGAATAACAAATTACGTTTTTACTAAATCCCAGGTTAAAAACTGTAACTTTATATATCTTCTAATGTGAAGAAACACTTTTATTCAAGGACTCACTGACTCCCTTTAATTCAGATGTGAATATAAAATTACTTTTTCAACTAAATGCACATACCAAACAACACAACATCAAATATATACCTAAGTCTTGAACAGAAATTACATTGTCTTCAGATTGTGTTACACTGAAAAATCATAGGACTCTCAAACAACGTCACTACTTTAAAAACTGTAGCAATGAAAGGCTACATCGGCCCTTCGCAGTGATGACTCGCAGCTGCAGTCGGGCACTCAACCTGTCCCACGGCTCCCCCAGGTGAAGACCAGCTCCCAGACAGGGGCTACGGGAAGAAGTAGAGCCCTGAGTGGGCAAGGCCTGCTGGGAGGTCCTTAGGTCCCTGGGGGCTCTGACTTCACAGGGCATTGTGGGATGCTGAACCCCTCCTTCTCTCTGGGTTCCCTAGATACTAGACCAGTGGCTTTGCTCTGGCACACAGGCCTATAAAGACACACTTTCTTGCCAGAGACCCAATCTGTCATGGAGCAAAACATTCAAAACTGTAAGCCAAACACACCTTTTCTCTTTATACATTTATTATTGTAACAAAAATGAAAATCTAAAAAGCCGGGAGAGGTGGCGTACACCTGTATTCCCAGCACTTGGGAGGCTGAGATAGGAGGATCGTCGTGAGTTCAAGATCAGCCTGAGCTCACAAGACCAGCCTGAGCTCACAAAACCAGCCTGAACTGCATAGTGAGACCTTGGCTCAAAAATACCAAAAAAAAAAAAGGAGAAAAAAGTATGAAAATCTAATTGAACTCCACTGAAGAACATATGACTGTATCACAAATATGGATTATTTGTACTTCACATTGACATGCAAATGTAAGCGGCCTCCTATTTTATGTATCTTTATTTCATGGATATAAAACATTCTGGGAAGGGACCTGTCAGTATCACAAATCTACTTTAAAAACAATCAAATAAACACCTGAGAAACTACACTAAATTTAATTGAAATACAGGTCCAGCACGAAAGTCAAATTCATAACGTCCAAAGGTCCGTGACAGGGCACAAGGTGGGCACAAGGTGTAGAGGGGAACAGGAGTTTTAAATGACTACCCAAATTAAGGCTCTAAACGACCAGAAAGGGGTAAAAAAGCACTGCCTGAGTCCTCACCAGGAAGAACCTGAGAGTGCAGAAAGGTGCACACACAAGAAAAGGCCGACCAAGGCAGCAGAGTGGATTAGAAGGACAGGAAGAGGAAGGAACCTGAGAGATCAGGCCAGGCGTGGGGATCTCAAACAGAAAAGCAGTCGAGGCTTCCCTTCCAAGAGGAACCCAGAAGCACAGAACTGAAGGGAGGACAGTCACCTTCAGAGAAGAGCACACCCACTCCGGATACAAAGGTGCTCATGAAACATCACCTCCCCACACACAGGGCCTGTTACTACTGTTGGAAATACTTCTTGAGGCAAAAAGCCTGTGTTTCAGATAACAAACAGAAAATAATAATATAAAACACAAACAAAATAAACAAATTTAAATGTTTGATTTTATTTACGTTTTCATCAGACACACTCATGCCCCAAGGACTTCCATGACCCGCCGCCATCTCCTTTCTGTGCTACCCGGATAAACCCAGGGCAC